CTCGACTTGGCTTGGTGCAGAGGCCCTTTTGGACTGTTGCCTATTCGCCTTGAGGCGCTGCTGTCCGATGCGAACCCAAACCGCACAACGCTTTGGGTACCCTAAAGGAGTTCCAACCAATTCGGTTTTGGGATGCTACGCGCAGTTGAAGCTTGTCCTTTGGTCATTTAATGAAAACTGGAAATCGTTGAGTAGACCTCTTTAAACGGGTTCCCTGATTGACAAGCCGACCCCAGAACATGAATCAAACAAGCGGCACATGTGCCTCTGAGAAGCTGCGAATGATCGGTCAAAAGCAAGGGAGCAAAGCGGAAACCAGGCGTTTGTAGATGTATATGCACAGTATACACATATGTAGTACATGTGTCAGATTCTACATCTATCTATCTATCCACCCATCCATCTGTATCTCTCCCTCCCGCACCCTCACCCTCACCCTCTCATCCCTTCATATGTAGATAGAATATATGTATATATATATTAAAATACACATGTGCACATGTATAGATATGCAAACGTAATGCGGACCTGTTTGGTGGAAGCCAGGAATTTGTGTCCAGAAAGTATTGTTGACGGCGTTCCCCGTAATTTATAGCTATGCTTCCCGTTGGTAGGGTTTGGGCCATTATAAAATGTACATGGCCTTGGAAACCCAGCCCTTGGCGCGAAGGGTGGTCCATTTGCCCACCTTTGTTGCCCTCTGAACTTGGGCCCTTGCGAATGCTCCCAGTGACGGGGTGCCCCAAGTTTTGCTCATATTGTACACCATGATTTTCCAGTTCTAGACCACGGCAGGTGACCAAGGGAACCTCCCTGGAAATCAAAAGGAACATGGTTACCCACTCTAATAGTGGTAAATGGGATCCACTGGGGTAGACGAAATAGTGTGGATGGACGAAATCCATTTCGCACTAATCTGAAACCATGGGAAACCACTGCTTGTTGGCATTTACAAGGGAATCATCCTTCCAGGGCTTCCTAGGTGGTGCAGGATTTTGTCCATCCACACTATGAAACAGAATCTGATCATATTACCCCTGGGCCAAGGTTCTTTCATCCGTTCATCCCGATCCCAGTTTCCAGATGCAGCTCGACAGCAACTCGTTTTTCAAGGAAGGTTCGCTTGGTTACCTATATGGGGCAACGAATTCACTGGGTTTGACCGGATGTGGTACACTGAATCTCATGTTTTGGGCAGCTTCCGATTAAATCTCATGGCAGTCTTCGGAATCAAACGCAAGTTAACTTAAGGATCAACCACAGAAATGGATGGAGCGGGCTCAGATTGGATGCTCTGTCGACTTCGAAACTCAAGGATTCTCCCGGGATGTAGCGCAGGTGGACCGCTTTCGTTTCTTGGGCCTCAGGGGACCCCGGCCGAAAGCTATGGGGTCTCCCAGATTTGAGAGCTGGGCGAGCGGAAGGCAAAGGGTCCGGATTTCCAGGTGGGTCTGTCGTTTTTGAGGGGTCCAACCTTAAAACAAACAGAGTTGGACCCTTGAAGGCTCGGATCCCTAGATTCCTTGCATGGAGGCGGACCCCATTTTTGGGAACCAATTTACAGGGAGCCGTACATTATACACCTGAACATTGCCCTGTAAGTGGCGGTGTCCCTTTATTTTGGTGGAAAAAGCCCATGCTTCAAATGGGCAAAATGTACTCTTTTAAGGAGCCCTGTTTTACCATGTTGTTTTCTTCAATTTTGAGAAGCTCAGCTCCCCCCCCCCCCCCAGTTTTAGGAACTCAAGAAGCTCCAAGGAAACCGTCGACCCTTGCTGGGTAATTACAAGGGCCCAAGCAATGTATAATATTCTGCGGATTCTGTACTGCATATATATATATATGTATGGGGGTGTCCCTGGTGTAGTGGGGATTTATCACTTTTGGAGGATTAACAAACCGGGGTTTATTCATCCGGGGTCATGTTATAGGATTCATGCAGAAGGAGATCCATTTTTCATAGCGAACACGGCGCGTCCGCGTGAAAGTTGAGGCCCACGTTTTGCAGCGGCGCGATAAAGTGAGTTCTTTCGACTTGCGGCCGCGGGAAGCGGGAAGGGGTCGCCCCCTAGCCCCGCCGCGGCCGTCAAAAACTTGTGCTCGGCTGGATGGAGACAGGGCGTCCATGTCGCCAGATACTACGATTCTCCTTCGGCGGGATTTACCTTACTTTTGACTCAGGGCAAAGGGGAAGGCGTTAGCCAAGGAAATCCATGCACTTTCAATATGGTCCCTTGCTTTAGCCCAAAAAGTAAAAGGGCATAGCAAACTCGCAATGATTACACCAGGCCACCTGCATTCAGATCCGTCCATGGAGCGCTCATTGTTCCTTCTTCTTGTCTCCCATCTTTCCAACTCTTGGTATTTGGTATGGTAGCAAAACTAGGTTTCTTGCAGCCCCCCTCCCCCGCACCCCAACCCAAAGCTATGATCATTCCGTGTACAACCAGGGGGTTCGTCCCTTCAGGCGGCTTCGGCTTAGACCCAAACCCTCGGAGTCTGGACAATTGCCAGTTCAGTTCACATGTCAATGGGTCAAAAGCTTGTACCCATTGAACATCCCAATCCCCACTAAAATAGGTTCTAAAATGCATGGTGCACCCATCCCAACATGGTACCATTGGTTTTGAACCATGGCGATATACCCTCCCACCAAGGAACATGGAACCTGACATTCGGAGTCCTGGTTTGGACCATTCTTCCTTTCAAAGGGAGCCCCCTTTCAGTCAGGTGAATTGGTCGGGGAAGGTAACTCCCATAAACATAACTTTTAGAGGGGACCACAGGAATTCCATCCAGCCTTTTGCCTCATCGGCAGCCGTTTCGATTCGACCTGCGCTCTTCCGGCTCGCCGATGGGAGCTCCGTCTCGCGGGCCGCGGCCTTTATCCGCGGCCGCCGAGAGCACCACGGCAGGCAGAGGTGCGCAAGGCCCACAGAAATTTGCTCCGCTCTCACGCAGTTCATGGGAGGAATACCTTTTTGGCGGCTGCCTTGAAGGGCTTCCCTGACCCCGGGTTGAATCACGGCCATATCGAAATCCACTGAACGTATCCTAACTCTGGCACTAAATTCATGACCTCCCCATTTCCAGCAAACATGAATTTTGGGACACCTTCCCGAGACACGATAAATATCTAGAAGGAAAGGGGGTCGGTGGATCCAAGCATGCCGAAAAACGCTTCTCTTGGCTCCTGCCGAAAAGACAGTGGTAAGTTTGGAGGGCTCGAGCTTCTCAAAATGGGATTCGGAGCCCCCGTTGAGCTGATTACAGGGAAACCTCTAGAGGAATTCAACCAACTTCAGGGATTCCTATTTGTGTGTGGGTCAAAAATGGGTCTGGTGATACCTATTTGTGTGTGTGCGTGTTTCTTTTTCAATTCATTTGTGAAAGGAGAAGTGTCAGTTGTTTGTCAATCCATTTGCTCACACCTGGTTTGGCTGCACTTCCTGAGTGAATGAGGATAAACTGCACAGGCGCACTCAATGAATCAACAAACTACTATAGATGAGCAAAATCGGTGTCGTGCCAGTTCGGATGCAACAATCCCTACAACTATTGCAATAAACCACCTGGCAGCTACAGGGTTTTGTCCATCGACAGTATGAACACGGCCATTTTTCCCTATGAAACGGGTTTCTAAGCCTTTTCAAAGTCAGGGAGCATTCCGGGCTTGCACGAGTGAGCCAAAATCTGAGACCTGCGGGACTGAGTTCCATTTCTCCGCCGGCGGAAAACCATGGCCGGGCGGACGGATCTCGAATGTCTAGGCAGAGAACTTAAAGACTACTTGCAGGTTGCGGCTCTCTCTTCCATTGACTCCGATCCCAAAATATAAACCAGTTTTGTGGGGGAGACCTGCCACAACTTGCCGCAACTCGCTCCTTTTCTTCGGCTTCCCGTTCCGTTCGAGCCGCGATGCTCAGCAAAAGCGGACGGTTTCGAGGCAATGGTTGCCATCACCCCGGAGGGAACAGGCTTGTCATTGTTTGTTGTTGGTGTTGTGTTTGTGTGTTTTGTGTTTTTTCAATTTGTTTCTGTTGGGAGGGGGGGAGTTTGGCATACCCCCAAGAGAAAGCCTACACTGTTCAGTAGGCCATCCATACATTCGACACGTTTCGGGGACTGGGAGGACATGGGCGTCTGAACAGAACGAGGTGTGACGAGAACGGGAAACCAACACGTGGAGTTGACTTGGCCACATGTGCAGTGAATGATTCGTTTCGGGTCAATCCCACCCGTTCGGTGAGCACTCAAGGGGTCGTTTCGGGCTATTTGGGAATAGTTGCAGCCGAGCTTCGGCCATGCCGAACAAGGTCAGGAGAACAGCGGAACCACGCAAGTAGCAAGTGGGTGCGTGAGTGCGTCAGGGAGGAAGGGAGTGAGTGAGAGGCATGGGTCGCGTTGCATAAGGTCAAATAATGGCTGGACTGCCAAAAAAAAAAACCTCTCAAGTAATTGATTACAAATTGATCAAACTCAACCTGTACTTGGCTTTGCCTCAAGGGACTCCTGAATACGTAGGGAGCTCCACGATCTTTCGAAAGCCTTCCAGTGGTAAACACACTCGCTTATTAGGTAGACGGCCCGGAAACAAAAAAAAAAAAAAGAACAGAGTCCGGACTTGGTATTTACCACCAAAACGGACTTCCAGAAGCTTACTCAGGAGGTAAGCAAAAGACCGGCCCCAAACCTTGTCTTTCCGCTAACATGTTCTGGAGCGGCCCAAGATGCCGACCTTCGTCCGACTCCGAAGTTCCGACCCAACTTCAGGTCCGAAGGGGAAAGCCAAGAGGTCCTCTATGTTGAGACGCCCCCAAGCGGGTCATACTCAAATTTCAAAACCTGGAGTTCAAATTGCCTACAAAGCCATCTAAAGAAGCCAGAAGGCGGCTCCGGCTGCTCCCATTTATCTAAAGAAGGTCAGAAGGCGGCTGCTCCCATTTATGGTTGGGACTGCCCCTTAAGTGCCCTTCATGTACCCCGGCTTGGTGTGGCTTGGGAGAACAAAAAGGTCAGAGACGGTCAGATCCCGTAAATTCGCTTTGGGCACCTGAGGATGGAGATCCACTGCTCCCTTTCCGCCCGCGATCCGAGGATCCGAGGATCCGAGGATCCGAGGGAGCGACTCAGCGCTTGGAGGCGAGTTTGGTCACCTGAGGCCACACCGCGAGACTTGCCTTGGACCGCACCACTGGCCTCAGTATTTTACCACCCAGAGGCTCCCGCTTGATTTAGGGCCTTCAAACAACCTGGCTTTGAGACCGGGTCCCAACCACCTCCGATATGTCTAATGGAGGGGTCGGGTCTTCCATTGAAAGCCCCAGGAGCCTCTGGGCATGATCAAAGTGACCCCCATGTTTAGTGGGAAGGGAAGCAACCATGTTCTGACTTTGATAACCCCCACAGTCAAATCCTGATGGCTTTTGGGGCTCCGAAACCGCAGCCACTGGGGTGTTAAGGATAAGTCGATGGGGATCCTGCTTTCAAGCACTCACCATGTGGGTGTCTCTTTTATTTGGTTTCCGTTTGAAACCACAAACAACATTCTCTCTAAAAAAGACACCCATTAGTCTGGGTGTGGCTTGTCTGTTTCAAGCGAAAGCCAGCTTCTGTCACAAAACAAGTTGGCCGCCTGCTTCTTTCACTGAATCAACCCCCCAAAATGGAGTTATTTTATACAAGAACTGTGTTTGATGGTTTTGGAATGCAGCGTTGATCTGCAGGGAATCAGCAGGGCTGTCATTGCCACAAAGCTGAAAGATTCACACGATCGCACCAAAGAACAAGCAATCAAACGGCACGAACAACGCTTCATGAACCTTTAAGTCAACCATCATATTGACACTTGTCCAAATTCACCGTCATCCACCGGCCACCCACACCAAATACCCATTTGAAGGCACCTTCGGTCCGCCATAAACTCTCATCCAGGAATACCCCATGGACCGGTTCGGAAACAAAAGCCTCAGTGTTCCACGGCCAGCGCGAGATTGAAGCATGGCTATGGGTATTGGGACCCCCATGAAATGGCATCAGTTTGGTTTCCCTTTGCTTACCAACACAAAACAGGTACCCCTCAAAAGCGGATCCAAATTCGGATCCAGATTCTAGGACCGTGGATTCGGGGCCCGAGAGCAAGTCTCCCGAGCGGATTCTCAGCCCCAAGTTTCAATGTCCTTACACTCCTTCTTTAAAAGCAAATTTGGATACCCAGCTCCGAGTCCGGCTCCTTTCCACCCAGCTAGCAAGTATTGGCTCTTTTTGACTCTCCAATCGGGCTCGCGCCTTGTCCTTGGTCTCTTTCATGATCGCCTGATCGAAACACGTCCATTTGCTCAGCCCAATGAGATCCTCATGCCAAAAAAGAGCGCACCCTTTTCGAGCATCCTTGATTTTGGTTAAAGGGAACCGTCAAAAAAAGGAACCTCCCAGATCTGTCGCTTGGGGAAGCCTTGCCAATGGCACGGGCCCTCGGCTTGCTGAGGGCCACCGACGTTTCAAGAGTTCTGCACGGGCGGGGGGGTTGGGGGCGGCGTGCTTGCGGGTTCCTTCAAAGAGGACGGAAGGTGATTTCATCTTTCGGATAAAAGTGCCAACCGCCCAGGAATCTGAGTAGATTTGTTCCACCTGGATCAGGAAACCTCGTCTGGACAGCCCAAGACTCTCCGCAATTGGCACTTGGGTCTTCAACGTAAACTCACATCCATCGGGATTCATGACGTCGGATCAATTTGGAGGACCATTCCGGGGGGCTATGCTCCATAGAATCGATGACTTGATTCCGTCAAAGGGGAACCGCCCCTGGTCAGCATGGTCCTCCAAATGAACTGGAAGTTGACTTGCATCACCGAGGGACCCCTATGTAGGGGGGAGGGGGGACCCCCACATATACATTTAAGCTGCGACCACAATCCTACCGCACCCCCCCAATATACATAAAAATCCGCTTTTGCTGGGTTTTGCCCCAAACATCAGCAAGAGACCAAAGCCAATCAGGCCCATGGCAGACCCTGAAAAACTCCAGCTGCGCAAAAAGAAACGGCGCCCACACACAACAAGCAAATTAGGAGCCCTCCTGAAAGACGTCCCACTTCACGCAAGTGATCAGCCCGACAAGTAGGCCCTGAAAGAAACAAGCTTCGCAAAAAAAAACGGGGGCCACACACAAAAAGACAAATTACAAGCCCCACAAACAAGATCTCACTTCACGAAAAGCAGCAGGCCGACCCAGCCGGCCAGCGCTAGGGCCTGAAAAAACACAGCTAGCGCAACAAAACGGCAGCCACACACAACAAGCAAATAGACGCCGTACGCAAAAAAAACAATTTTAAGAAAGCAGCAGCCCGACCAAGCAGACTAGCAAACGGCGAAATAAATCTAACCGTGCAAATATATATATATATATATATATAGAAAACAAGAAACAATCAAGTGGGTTAGTGACAAGCCCGAAACAAAAACAAACTGCAAAAACACAAAGCGCAGCGACACACAACAAACAAATTAGAGGCTCTACTTGCCAACAAACAGTTGACAAAAAACAGCTGCCCGAACAAGCAGACCAGTGACAGGACCTGAAAACAAGCCGCGCACAAAAAATCCAGAAGCCCCACTAAAAACATCCCACTTGACGAAGAGCAGCAGCCCCGACCAAGCACACACAACAAGCAAATTGGAAGCCCTACTTAAAGCATCACATTTCACGAAAAGCATCAGCCCGGGCCAGTGACAGGCCCTAAACAAAAGCTAGCTGCAAAAACACGGCGGCAGCTACAAACAACAAGCAAATTAGAACCATTGAAGGGGCGACCGCCGAGGGGGTCATGGCCCGACCGGCGACGGGGTCGGGGCCCGACCGCCGGCAGGGTCGGGGCCCGACCGGGGACGGGGTCGGGGCCCGACCGGCGACGCGGTCGGGGCCCGACCGCCGCCGACGGGGTCGGGGCCCGACCGCCGACGGAGTTGGGGCCCGACCACAGGCCCTGAACAACATCAATCTGCACAAAAGAAAGGCAGCCACACACAAGCGAATTAGAAGCTCTACCTTGACGAAAAGCAGCAGCCCGACCAAGCGGCCCAGTGACAGCCCTGTAAAAAATCAAGCCGCGCAAAAAAGGGCGGCAGCCACACAACAAACCAGAAGCCCGGCGAAGACATCCCACTTGCAAAAAAAAACAAGACACCAGAAGAGCACGGGAGCAGGAGACTAAGGAACATGATTGAAACGTGTCTTGTTTTTTGATGTCCTTTGTAGGTTGCATTTCAGCGCCCGGTCGCAAAGGAAACTGTGCGTGCTGTCGGGCCCCGACCCCGCCAGCAGTCGGGCCCCGACCCCGCCAGCAGTCGGGCCCCGACCCCGCCAGCCGACCTTTTCCTGAAGCAGGATGTTTTGAGTAGCACTTCTAATTTGCATGTTGTCTGCGTTACCGCCTTTCTTTGTCCAGCTGGATATTTGTCAGGGCCTGTCACTGGCCTACTTGTTGGGCTGATGATTTTCGTCAAGTTGGTTTTTTCTCCAACAGCTGAAAGCTTTGGGGTCTCTGCCCAGATAGGCTCTGGGGTGATCCCGGACGGCCCTGAGGTGAGGTTCCACGAGCGTTCCACCAGGGTTCCACCAGGGTCCAATGAGGGTTCCATCAGGGTTTCACGAGGTTCTGCGGGACTAAAAAGAGCACCGCATGCTGTTGGGGATGTCACCTGAGCTTATTTTTTTAGGTAGAGCGACTGTTTTGAATTTGTACCGTTTATTTTGGGCAGCTGGATTGTTTTCAGGGCCTGGCACTGGCCTACTTGTCTGGCTGATGATTCTCGTGAAGTGGGAGTTTTTAGCAGAGCTTCTAATTAGTTTTTTGTGTGGGGTTGCCGCCTTTTTTTTGCGTAGCTGGATTTTTGTCAGGGCCTGTCACTGGCCTACTTGTCGGGCTGATGATTTTCGCGAAGTTGGGTTTTTACGTAAAGATTCTATGTTGTTCGCCGTGTATTTTGTGCAGCTGGATTTTTTCAAGGCCTGGCACTGGCCTACTGGTCTGGCTGATGATTCTCGTGAAGTGGGCTTTTTAACTAGGGCCTCTAATTTGGTTGTTGTGTGTGCCAATTTGTTGTACAGTTTTTCCTGGGCCTGTCACTGGCTTGCTTGGTCGGGCTGCATTTTTGTGATTTGGGCGTTCTGCAATAGAGTTTCTGATTTGTGTTTTGTCAGTGGCTGCCTTTTTTCGCGGCTAAAGCCGTTGTTGCGTCAGGGGTCACTTGTTCTTACGCCCGGCGGGCTTAAGAACAAGTAGGCACTTTAGCGAACAAGTGACCAGGTCACTTGTTCCGGTTGGCCCCCACTTGTTCTTATGCCCGCCGGGCGTAAGAACAAGTGACCCCTGAAAACGCTTGGGGCTGGGAACAAGCCAAGGCTTTTCCAGGACTCGTGGGAGCGGCGCAGTGACAGCGTCTGATACCTACCTCCAACTCGGCGAGGGGCAAATAGGAACATATTGAAAACAAAAGTTCCAATTGCGTGGCGTGCGTTGCCTTTTCCGCACTTCTGTGGTTATGGCCGTGCTTGGCCAAGATTGGCTTCTTCCAGTGTCACCTGGGAGCCTACAAGCCGAATTACACACTGCGCGAACAAAAGGTAGCTTGTTGATGCTTCAATGCGGACTCAATGCGGACAACTCCGCCCAAGCCGTCGGAACCCGATCCGTTTATCAGGAAATGAGTGAGGTGGTTTGCGCACATGCGGAAGGGCCGGTTTGTGCACATGCGGAAGAGCCGAATTCTCACACAGGGTGCTTTGCTTTCTGCCTGTTTTTGTTCCCCAGCTCTTGCGCTCCAGCTTCTTTGCTTTCGCAGCTTCTTTACTGAGCATTGTGATTCGCCGCCTAGGAGTTGCCTGTAGATTTTCCAAATAGCACCTGAGGGAAAACGCATGCGGACAAGAAAGCACCTTTATATGCATGGCTTAGGCTTACACTTGCGATGTTCATGTTGCGAACCAAAGGGTCTCCCTTGTTCTGGCCAAAAAAATCAGAGCTCTGACTCACGTTTCGCTGACAGGTGTCGATCATGCAAAATCGTTTTTCCGGCGCAATCGTCGGTTCGGGAAAAGGACATGCTTCGTTTGATCACCGCCCTTTGGTGCCGTGAAGCCGTTTATTTTTCTCGTTGGCCCGCGACAGCACTGCTGCGTTTCAGGCGGCGCTGGCACGTTTTCGTATCGTATCGTCAGACTGTCAGCCCTTGAACTTTCAAAAAGGCGCTTTGAGAAAACTCTGCGTCTGTGTCGTTTGTTTTGTTTGGGGCTTGCCCTTTGCAGCTCTAAATTGAGTCAAAACACCAATGGGACCAAGTCCATATTCCACGGAGAACAACCTTCAAGTTTCCGACAAGTTTAGAGTTAAGGGGCTCACTCAGTGTCAAAAAAGGACTCCCAAACCGCCATCGCCAAAAAACCTCACAGATGCGCGCTGCAGCTTTGGGTCCCGTTATTTCAAAAGGGTGTCTCGGTGATCCCGAAGAGGTGCCATAGGGAACTCATATATGCAAAGAAGAACCTCAAAACCAGAACGCGATACTCTTTGAGCCCTTGAGATGCCACTTGGCTTTTTGCTGCAAACCATTGCGTTGGTGGCAGCGCCGCGCCAGCAGTCTCAAGGACGCCTCACAGGGCCAGTGGCGCAATGACCAGCGAGAAAGCAAAGACATCGGATGAGGGGTTTGAGGGCGTGGGCCACGAGTGGGAGGCGACTGACCTCCGGCACCGGGCGAGGTCAGGGGATGGTTTGCTGGTTTGGCCTGAAGGTCCCGACAAAAACGCCTACGTGGCAAAAACAGTTGGCAATGTCCGGTTGAACGCGCAAGTGCTTTCACCAGTACTTGGCCGCATTGCAGCCCTAAAGGGCAGGCCACTCCCATCCATACAGGCTATGATGACAGAAGTCGTGGCATTCTACACCAAGTGTCAAATCAACACAAGTGCTGCGCTAAATTATCAGCAGGCGTGGGCCATCCGCAGGCTGTTACAGCTGGTGAAGTCTTGCGCCTTCCGGCCGAGCCCTCCGCAGGCCGACTTGTGAGCGAGTTTAGAAACCAACGTTGGATTGCGCTTCTTTACCGTGAGTTAGAGATCTGAAGGACACAACTCTTTCCGGACCTTGTTTTGGGAACATTGAGCAACGTTTTGGGACCATTAAGCAACAACATATTGGTTCATGCTTTGTTTTTTGAATATTTCCACAAACGCTGAAGGACCCAACTCTGCTGAGCCTACTCCTAGACCTCGGCATGGGGTTCGGGCAGGGCCAGAATTCTAAGCTGGAGGAATCGGAAGATCTTGAGCTGGAAGAGTTGGAGAAATTGGAAAGGGAGGGTGACGACTTGGAGAAGGCTCTTCAGAACAACCCCGAAACTTCAGAAGAGCCCTTGTTGCCCCCTGACTCGCAGCCTCTTCAAGAAGAAGAACATGCATCCCCGCCCTCGGAATCGCAGGAAGTGCCCTTGTTGCCCCCTGACTCGCAGCCTCTTCAAGAAGAAGAACATGCATCCCCGCCCTCGGAATCGCAGGAAGTGCCCTTGTTGCCCCCTGACTCGCAGCCTCTTCAAGAAGAAGAACATGCATCCCCGCCCTCGGAATCGCAGGAAGTGCCCTTGTTGCCCCCTGACTCGCAGCCTCTTCAAGAAGAAGAACATGCATCCCCGCCCCCGGATTCGCAGGAAGCGCCCTTTCTGCTCCCTGACTTGCAAGAACAAGAGCGTGTGCGCCCGCCCCCGGATTCGCAGCCCTTGTTTGAAGAGACCATCTTGGACTCCCTTCAGTTAGCCAGCCAGCCCCCGGGCCTTGATGAAGGCTCAGGCCAAGCAGGCCAACATTGGCACCTGAACCAAGCCGCTCCCGGTGACCAAGAAATCAATGAGAAGCGGGGAGGAGACAACATCCCTAAAACCGGGGTGAAAGCGGAAAACGCTGACCCAAACCCTGAGACCGGAGTCAAGGAACAAGAGGCCAATTCCATCACCAAGGTTCAGCCTGGCATCAAGCGTCAGTTTTCCCAGGTATTTGAAGAGGCATCGCCTTCCGGGCTTTTGGCTTCTGATGTCGTTTGCGTCGATGATGATGAGGAATTGCCTAGCCCCCCAATTCCTTTGCCCTGCGATGAGCTTCGCGGACGCATCATGGCCTTGGTTGCCTTGAAAAGGAAAAGGACCGTACTGTGAACAACAGTTTCCAACACAATAAACCCAGCAACGTCTGCGAAAGAGCGCCGTTGCCCTTGCCTCCCAGGACTCTGGAGGTGTCTGCGCGCGCAGGACAACAAGTTTCAGGCTGGCTGGGGGTTTTCGACCTCCCCCACTCCACGTTTCTCTTGCAACAGGTGGTCCCATCACCGTGAACGACTCGCTGCCTTACGGAGACGATAACGCAGAGACATGCCCCTGGGAGCCTGATGTTCCAGTCGATGCCCCTAGCAAGCAATGCAAGCTTGAGGTGGCCAAGAAGGTGCGCGGTGGGAAAAAATGACAAACAGAAGGAGACTAGTTGGGGCCCGATTTAGATGGGAAAGAAGCTGAGCTCTGAAAGCATTCAGAAACCGCAAAGAAGGTGCGCTGAGAACATTTGAGAAAACAAAATCAAACCAGTTTGGGCGGTTCCATTTTTTTCATGGCCAAGAAGTTCAGCAAGAGGTTCCAGAAACAACTTGCGAAGCCCTGGTTGACAACTTGTTAATGTCAATCACTTGAATATTTTGGTCAACCGCACATGCCTCCGTTCACCCTATAGGAGCCAACCATTGACCCAGTTGACATCTTTCAAGGGGTCGAGCTGGAGAACCCGCTTACCCGGAAGGAGCAATTGGCGCTCAAGGCTGACAAAGCAGCAAAAGTGCAGGGAAAACAGGAACACAACAAGGCACAGTCAACACCCGAAGAGGCAGCGCAGGACACAAAGAAGGAAACAGCAATTGAAAAGGGGGCCAAGAGCGCCGCCAAGACAAAGGCAGGGCCAAAGCCCAGCAAGAGGCAGAAAATCGCTGCCGCCACGCCTCCCAACAAAGCAGCTCTGGCTGCCACCGCAGCTCCCGAGAATCCGGCTGCCGCAGCTCCCAAGGCAGCAGCTGCTCCTGAGGTCCTGCGAGTCGACGAGTTTGGGCAAGCGGCTGATGACCAGTTGGTTGACTCTGTGCGCCCATTTTGCGACCCATCCCGCGACGCATCCTGCATGACCAGGCTGTGGCTGCAAAACAAAATCGGTCTGAACATCTACTGGACCCGGAGCGGGGTGGGCGTCAAAGTGCGCAAGGAGCCACGCGCAAAGTGGGCAGAAGTCAAGCAGTTCGACTGTGGCCCGTTTGCTCTCTGCGTCAAGTTGGCCACCCTTTGGGCCAGCGTCTCAGCAGTCAGCTTGAAGTCTGGGAGTTCAAACGCTTTGCCAACTGTAGCGCTCTTGGCCCTAGGTCGAGAAGCTCGTGGACCGCTACTCGTTGAATGCGGGTGGCCAGGATGTGTTCCCCAAAATTGAGGACTGCCGATCGGATGAGATGCAGCGGTACGCTTCCCTTTTGCGATTGTGTGCCCAAGTTGCCATGTCCCAGTTCAATGCAAGTGTTTCTGTCACAACGGCAGAGGCCAATTGAGCAAGGCTTGAAGGATAGCTGCATCCTTTCAGTTTCTTCGGGGCAACTTTTCAAAGCTGGCTCTAAAGCCTTCTGTTTGGTTTGTTAGCTGCGGAGCAAGCGTTGCCTGTATGTGAAAAAACCATTGGACTACATGTGTAAAAGCGAATTCTGGTTTTGCGATAGCTTGCTGGCATCATTCGTGACATTGCTACAAGTTTGATCTAGAGAGGCGTGGGGTGCGTCTCATGAAAATAAGCCCGGCAGCGCTGTGCGAGGCAGCAACAACATGCGAGAAAGACTTGCCGTTCACCGAGCCAGGTCTGACCATGATGCTTCGTTCGGTGAACTTTCTGAGCACCATTCTAGGCTGGGGCTTCCACACCCGTACGTCAAACTTCATTCCAACGCTTTGTCAGCGCAGGCCCGGTCCTGCTCTCGAACAACGGCATCTCCGGAAGTTGCAGCACCTGAGGACAGAGGCGAGTGTCATGTAACCTGTTCACCTTCGTCGCTTCGATCATATTTCTTGACCAAGCCCTGCAGGCCAACACATGGGGGCCGATGACCTTGATGGCTTTTCGGAAGGCCCGTCCCACTCACACGCACACGCCTAATTGGCCATGACTGCGCAGGCCCAATATGGTGAAGCGAGCTGTGCCTCGTTCCGCTGTCGCTCTGCGTTACCGGCGAGTTGTGCGAGGAGGACTGGCGACGCACAGAAGAAACAAAACGTTACAGGTGTCAAAAGGCAATAAGTGGACCCTGCGCCAGTGTGCCAGTCAGCACTTGTTGGATGCGTGCTGGCGGCTCTGACCAGCTTTTGAAACAAATCCCTGACGCACCTTGCTTGCCAGAGCACAGCCTGCCAGCAGCGCCATGGACCCAGATCAGCTCCCGGACTTGGTTGGCCGCCTGAGCCAGATGAATTCCCCGAAGGCAGGCCTACCTCCGTCACTTTAGTCTGTAAAGAGTCGGGGTGGCTAGCTTTCCCTTTTCTATTTCACCTATCCCTTTGTGGCAAACGCGCCAGGCGTTTATCTACATGGTGGTCCTGCTGGTCTTTACTAGCAACTTGCCGCAACCAACGGAGGCAGCGGGGGTATTTGAGCAAGCGCGCACGTGGCACCCATCCACCGGACTTGAAACACGAAAGCAACAGAGAGCCATGTTGCCCTGCAAGGAAATCGTTGTAGCCATGTCTACATTTGGTTGAAAAACAACCCGACGCAGGCCTTCAGCTACATTGAGCTGTTTGCTGGCGAAGCAAATGTCTTCAAGGAGGCAAAATCCCGTGGACTGGCGTGCGCCAGAATGGACATCACGTATATGCAAGCAGGGCGAGGCCGCTCAACAAACCCCATGGACATCAACACTTGCTCAGGCTTCGCGTTCCCTGGTAGTACAAGGGCTTATGAAGAGCACTGTCCATTGTCCCATCATGATCTTGACATCTTAGGCTATGTGCCTGGTCCATATTGTGCGCAAAGGAAGGAAGCTTTCTAGTGCTGATAGCGCTAGTTTGCAGTTCTTTTGTGATGGTAAATGCTGGAACTTCGATGCGTTCGCCATGCACTCCTTGGGGTGACTTATCAAAAGGCTACATACGGGAAGCCAACCGGATGGCTTCACGGTTTCTCTGCTGAATTCATTGGCAAACGTACAGCTGTTTGTTTTGCGTGCGTCCATTTGTCCCCGACACATGCCGCCAACATCTAAGGGTGGTGCTACTCCTGGGGCTAATTCTGGCTCGGGGAGGCACCTATTTTGTCGAGCAGCCATCCACAAGTATGTTTCGGTGGTACCCGCGGTTTGACACCTTCCTTGCCTCCAACTCGGAAACTTTGACGCACGCGTGTGTGGGGTTTTGGTCGTCTGCAAACTGCCACGCCGCCCAGGCATGGGTCATCAAGTGGTGGATGGGGATGTACGGAGGACTGTCGCCAAAGCGGCAGGTGGGTTACAGTAACAACCCATTTGCGGAGTCAATTAATTTGGGTCGTTTCCGCCAAGTTGACATGCGCAGCCTGCGGCAAAAAAACAATCAGTTCAAGCCCACCAAGACCTATCGCAGCAAGAAGGATGGCAGGAAGTGCTTTTGCGGAACAAAGCAGCTAAAGGAAACGCAGAGCCTTGGCTGACCAATGCAAACAGCAGACTGCAATTTTGGTAAATGTCCTTCCCCCCCCTCACACTTAGGATATATCCACCTCGTTTCGGCGAACGGATGATTGGAATGCTTCATGCTCTTCGAGAGCATGGCTGTGGGAAGCCTCAATTGCCTGAGCCTGTGGTGGACGGGCCTGCCTTTTTCCACTCCCTGCCTTGGTCGGATTGGGAGGAGGCAAATGTAACCAAAGTGTGTGCATACCTTCGGGGAAACCGGCGCCTGAAGGCGCCGCAAGCCTGGCGCGATGTTTTCCCTGTTCTCATGGCCCAAGTAAAGGAGTTCGATGATTTTCGGAGCGACGCCCCCTCTAATTGCCTTTGAGGGGCGCTGCGCCGGCAAGCGGGGATGCGCCCCAGGCGCTCGCAGCATGCCTTGGATCGAGCCCAAATCGGGGTGAGTGGGCCGGGCACCCAAAAAAGGGAGTGCAGGGATCCAAGAACTACACGCTTCACCAACCAAGTGGTTCCTTTCAGAAAAGGGCTTTACATCCTCGTTTTTTGTTGAAGCAGGGAGTGTATTCCGTTGCCTTCATCGTTGCCGTCGCTCCTTTTGCATTTATTTTGTCGGGTAGTTGTAGACTTGCCTCACAAGGTTTGCGTTTCTTGATCTTTGGAGGGGGCCCCTCAAAATCTTGCTCCAGTGAAATCCTTCGATCCGGTTGGGGGTAATTGCGTTGGTAAACGTTTTGGGTGCCCGCAAAAAACCTTGCCTTGTCCTTTCCAGGCAATCCGGTCAGAAACTAGTGCCGTTTGGGCATCCCTTGAAAAAGGCTGGTTTTCATTGTTGGCCTTGTACTCACAGCACGACCAGCAAGCTTTTGTCTTGTTTGGATGACATGTCGGGGGGGGCATGCGAAACCCAACTTTGAGCCACCCCAACCAATGGCAACCCAACCCGTGGCGTTTGGTGGGTTGGATTGACCCAGCTTTTCGAGGTCTTCTTTGGATAGCAACACGGGGGGGGCTCCTCCTTTTGAACTTTTGAAATTTGGGGGGAAAACCCCTTCCACCATTTAGGGCGTTTCAGTCTTCCCAGCAAGAACTAAGGTGTGTCAAATTTGGAGCCTTCGCCAGCTCATAACTGGAAACCAACGTGCTCAAGCTTTAGCAAGCAAACTTGGCTTGGGAAGAAGGCTCTTGGGGGCACATCCGGCACCTTCAGCAAAGTGCCAGATTGCTGATGATGCTGGGGTGTTGCTGGCGATTTGGGGCGCAAGTGCGACTGCAAAGGCCGACGTCCAGCTTCGCTGTTGCAGGTGAGTTGCTGGTGATGCTGTGGGTGTTGCTGAGGAAAGCGGCGTTCATTTACCTTTCCAGACTGGAAGGTAAATGAACGCCGCGTGGGTCCTGGTGATGCTGGGGGTGTTGCTGGTGATGCTGTGGGTGTTGTTGAGGAAAGAGGGGCGTTCCATTTACCTTCCAGACTGAAAGGAAAATGAACGCCGCGTGGTTGCTGGTGATGCTGGGGGTGTTGCTGGTGATGCTGTGGGTGTTGTTGAGGAAAGAGGGGCGTTCCATTTACCTTCCAGACTGAAAGGAAAATGAACGCCGCGTGGTTGCTGGTGATGCTGGAGGTGTTGCTGGTGATGCTGTGGGTGTTGTTGAGGAAAGAGGGGCGTTCATTTACCTTCCAGCCTGGAAGGTAAATGAACGCCGCGTGGTTGCTGGTGATGCTGGGGGTGTTGCTGGCTGGGGCTGCGCGAATGTAACTCAGACGTAGCAAGAGCTTACGTCCAGCTTCGCTGTTGCTGGTGATGGTGGAGGTGTTGCTGGTGATGCTGGGCGTGTTGTTGGTGACGCTTTTACGCTCAGCTTCGCTGCTGCTGGTGATGTCTGGTGATGTTCGGGGTGTTGCTGGTGATGCTGGAGGTCGCAAGCCTTGATGGACAACTGTTCTTGCCCGTCCAGGCATTTCTTCTGCCAGCGTGTCAGCCCAAAAAACCATGATAAACAAGGGGCCTTGTTTGTCGCTGCCACATGTTTGAGCTTTGACGACAAGAGCTCTTGTCCATCAAGGCATTTCTTCTGCTGGCGCCCTTGCCGCTTTTGGGCGGGCGAGCTTCCTTTTCTAGTCATGGGGCTTTTTTTTTGGGACCAGTGTTGAAACAGACATGATTTACTTGGAAAAGCAACAGTCTGCAACCTCACGCATTTGAGAGGCTTCCCCAGGCCACACTTGAGAGCCCCAATCATTTCGGGCGAAAGCAAGGATTCTTCAAGTTTTTCGTTGTTTTCCCATTGTTTTCGTGACATCTCAAGTCCAACCAGAGGGGTATGGCCGTGCTTGACCGTGCACGCCCGTTCAAAGCCATGCAGTGTGTGCTTACTGCCGTGCGCCTGTGTTGAAATTTCCGTGCCCTGTGTGACTTTCCCCGTACCCGTTCTGACCCGTGCTGGTCCGTGCTGGCCCGTACCCGTGCTGGACCCGTGCGGGACCCGTGCAAACCCCGTGCAAACCCCGTGCACACCCGTACCCATGTTACGTGCTTTTTGCGTGAAGTTCCCGTGCTAACCCGTGCTGCTTGTAGAGCCCAATTCTGCCTGTTTTCGGGCGCGAACCCTTTCGAACCCGATCGAACCCGGGCCGCACGCGTAACCGCATGCCTCGGCTCGTCTTGAGGGCTCGTCTTGAGGGCAAAGTCCGCAGGCGCTGGCTTTGTTCCGAAGTAGCCTCAGCAATGGCTGCCAATCCGAGGGTTCATCTTCAGAAATGCAGCCGCTTGTGGAGCTGCCTCTCCCTTGTGGATGGTGCTCAGCACATCACGGCAGACGCCGAAACCAAAATCAAAGAGGAGTTGGGCAGCATGACAAAGGAGGAGTTGGCTGAGTACGAGGCCTGCGCCCGACTTGTTTCATTCCCTACAGTCAATACATGTCAAAACACATGCTCTTGAAAGGAAGCACTCAAGCAGTTGGATGACCACAACCCCGAGGCCTGAGTGAACATTTTGAGATTTCGAGAAAAGGGTCTTTGTTTGCACCTTCGTCAGGAGCTTGACACAGATCCTTACATGACTTTATCCCTCCTCTCTGAGTCTGATGGCGAAGGTGAGGTGAGGGTGGAGCATCGTGGTGAGACACATTGTGTTCCTTGCCAGCAACTTTGCTAGCTGGTGATGCAACGCAACAGTGTATGTTTCTGCGCGGGCACTAAGGAATCGCCAGAGGCAACCCCAGCATCAAGTGACGCGCCCGCCGATGACAAATCTGATGCAGAGAAGTTGCGCGAAGCTTTGCAGGAAATTGAAAAACTCAAGCAGGCAATGAACACAGACAAGCAAAGCCTCCCGCCCGCTTCGGAGTTCCAGACACCGCCAACCAAAGCTCCGAACGTAAGCCCTGCACCTAGCACGCCAGCGGACAAGGCACGCGCTGCGCCGACCACACCTGCTACCACACCTTTGCAGAAGGCAACCTCCGAGAAGGCTGCCACCTTGCCGAGGCAGTCAGCAATCACAGCCATGTACGAAGAAGCGCTTGATGACAAGGAGGGCAGTTTTCAGGTTTTTCCATGCTTGCTTCAACAAGATTCAGGCGCTGATTGCTTGCTCGCGCGTGCCAAGTGCAGGAGTTGTCATCCGCTGCTGTGCGGATGCGGCTCCGGAGGTTATGCGAGACGAAGAAAACCGGAAAGTGCAATGTTGATGCCGAAACTCACCAACAATGGCTCAATGGTGGCACAGGCCGCGAGGAGTTGGAGCTGGCCTTAGTGAATGCGTTGCGGAAAGTTCCCAACATGATGGACA